CTTGGGGGAAAGAAGGATTGGATTTACTTGCTAGGTTTGACAATGCCCGTTTAAAGAGGGGCACGGGAATACTGAGACTCGCATATAGAGCGCCCTAAATCCTATACCAGCCTAATGGCAACGAGCACAGCTACCGGTGCATACTACTAGCCGGTGTAATGAACGCTTTAGAGTTCAAAAGCGAATGTTTAATTTTGCATCTTCGGCCGCTCATCATTGTTTTCCCATAGTAAAGAGGAGCTGGGTATCGGGTCCGCTGGGTTAGAGACTAGTAGGCTTAGATAGGGGTGGGGCCACTGGGTTCGGAGCGGGGCAAGCCCACCGGGAGGCTTGCAGGGTCAGAAAACTATGCGAAGAGTGCCTAGGCTGGGAGGAGCCTTTCCTACGTATTGGGGGAACCCAGGAAGGCTATGTCACCTTGGGAACACCCTAAATACATGGGAGCGGGGGTTTGCCGCTCGCGAAAGGAGGATGGGTAGCCCCCCCCCCCCCCCACCCTCCCGCCTGGAAGATTGGAACTTCAGATATCATACTTACTAGGAGATTCACCGCCCCAGTACCGAGAACAACCCGAGATATAAGTTACCCATCAGGTCTTAGGTTCCCAGGTGTTTTTACACATCTGCTGTCCCGCCGCCGGCAAATCACAGAATTTGGGAGTAGGGGAAATCTGGAAGAGAAGCGAGTGTGGAGTAGGAAATATCTTTCAAATTCATTATAATTTGTAGGGCGTGAGAAGGCGTACACCCAAACTGCTACTCAAACACTCTACAGGTATTTCCACTCCCGGTATTTCCTTCTTCACCGCCTCCCTCCCTCACTCCCTATCCCCCGATGCAAGAACAGCCACCCTGGTCTGCCCTAGAGAGCCCTCCAGGTAACTGGAGTAGAAAATATATATACAGGGGCGGAGTCGAGTGTCTCCACAGCTTGCCCATCACTATTCCGAGTGGTCTTGTATAGTGAGTAACTAGTGCTATCAGGTTGGGGCCTGGTGTGGAAGGAATTTGGGGATTGCGGGATTCGCTTGGGATAGTAAAGCATTCAGCTATGGGACCCGGGGCATTAAGGGGTGGTGGGATCTGGCGCTGCCAAGGATCAGACTCCAGATAGTCTAGGGAAGGGGGGGGGTAGGCGGCCGTGAGGGTTGGGTGGGATTGCTGTCCTGGATAGTCCTCCCGGGAAATCGCTCATAATTAGAGGCCCCAAGAAAGGGAACAAAGGTAGTAGACTGTAACTAATAAACAACCTCCGATGAGGGCGACAATCTGTAGAGAGCCAGCAAAAGGAAAACACAATAGAAGATAAATATGAGAGGGGCCATATGAGACGAAACAGGGGAACAATGGCAAGTTGATAAACCCTCCCACTTTGTAGACAAGTAGGTTGCCGGGGTAAGTGGTGTTTTCACGAGTATGATAAGGAGCCTGAAGGGCTATCTGGGGACAAGCCGCAGGAATAGGGACAGCCTAGCATCCCAATGACACTAGTGAGGGAGGGGGTGGGAAGGAAAGAGAAGAAAACCGTTTAGAGTTCTGTCCGGAGTCTCTAGCGGTCTACCCCCCCATCCCTGGGACAGGGCCAGGTGGGCGGTGAGGCCTGGCCGGCCTCTATTGTATATTCCAATGCTATAGGGCACACGCAAGAAGACTAGACCCCTTGTGGACCTTGCAGGGGGCAACGCGGGTAGCATCCCTCAGCACTCATGAAGCCCGCCACGGCTCCTTGCTAGAAGACTACGCAAGGTCAGTGCAGCGGTCAGCGGGAAGTGATAGCATGCGTGACAGGGAAAAATATGAGAGGTGGGACTGAACTAGAGGGCAACTACAGAGGAGGCGGGCGTAAAAACAGATAGCTAGGTTGACTAGTAACACACTTGATTACCCCGATAGAGTAAGGCACATAGAACACCCCCCATATATCATCCATCCCGGCGCTGGGCCGGATACATTTTCATTCGGGAAAAGCGCGCAGTGAAGAAGATTTTGGATTTTAACGATATCTGGATACTGCGAACTTGCTGAGAAGGATGGAAAGCCGGGTACGAATAACATCAAGTGGCGGGTGGCGGAATGTGATTCGAGAGGTCGTGACTGAAGGTGAATGACCGGGAGTAAAGAGCGCTTTGGTAGAAGCTTTCGGTGTTGGAGCGTGTCATAAGGGCTTTCTCGCTCCGAACACCCCGCAAACTCCTCTGAGGAAAGAAAAGATTTGGATACGGTAAGCCGAAAGATTGACGATCGCCAGGAAAGCGATCCCTCACAGTCGCTGCTAGCGGGCTGTTCGTCGCCCCGAGGAACCGGCCCCGTACTCGATGTTTTTACAATTTTGCTGGGGCCTTGAAATAGGGAAAGTGAGGGGAGAAGGAAAACCCACTGGGGGCCGCGATCAAGGGCGGAATAGAAGCCCCAGGACAACAGCTGTACCAATACTTGTATGATACAAGTAGCGAAGGATTGCCCTCACCAATACCTAAACTCTTGAGAGTGAGGGGCTCTAGATTCATTGGTCGCTTAAGTTAAGTTAATAGTGATTTAGACACGGTCCACGGACAGCACTCGAGTACAGCTACCGTAAAGGCATCCGGTCCCAGGATCGAAAGGGGGTATGCAAATTTTTCATGCACTCTTTCAACATGGCTAATCAAGCTTTCTCGTGTTTGACGTGATAGGTAAACTAAATATATTGGAAAGTCAGCGTGCTTTACTATTGGCGGCTGCTACAGAATGCGAAAGGGGTAGCTTAACCTTACTTGGCAAACCAACCAGTTTCCAGACATCTTGGGGCTTTTTGGTCGTAACTTGCGCCAAGATTCCCGCTTGAATTACCAAGTAGGGGTATTCAAAGTTAAAAGAAGGTACTTTCTGTAACGAGTAGACTAAATACGGGAAATGCATTAGGTCACTTTATGGTGTTCGCCGATGGTGTTCATGCATTTTGGGTAGCATATTTGAGTGTACAGTACCGTACTACGCTACTTGTAAGCGAAGATAAAGTATCAAAATGAATTGGAATTCTACCAATATGGTGAAAATTCTGTCTATGTTAACGAAAAGTTAGGGCTAGGAGATTTTTGCCAAAAGTAGATAATTTTCCTCAATGGACACTATCATATTTTGGGGTTTTTTTTAACAAAAATTCTTTTGGCTTCATGTGTTGTTTCTGCGCTCCGGTAAAGTAATGGTAACTCGGGTATGATATTACTATCGCTTTTCTCTTAAGTGCAATATGAACCCTAGTATGTGACCCGTTCCATTGGTTACACCTACTCGAGCACTGTACAAGTCCCTGGCATGAACGGACTGAACATCAGGGGGTCCCGGGAGCTTGGGGCCCTTTGCCAAGGACACCGAATCACACCTGTAAATAGCAAAAGTAGTTAGCATAAAAATAATCAAAAAAGGGGAAATTTGAATAAAAAGGGGGTATTGTTCCTAGTGACTGCATGTTAGGAAGAGGTATCCGAGTCAATTCTGTGAAATATCGGAAACGTATACATACCAACTACTAAACTAGAAACAAAAACATCACCGGTAAGTCAAGCATTCCCAATCAGAGAGAATTATGAACTGAAACTCACATCAATACCATCTAGAAAAATGGAGGACCCAAAGCGTGAGTGGGCATCCTATAAACAACGATGCACTGTCCAAGCCTTGCGAAATTCAGCAGGCTGGACCTACAGACGGATTGCTGAAGATCAAAACCTTAGTCTCGGGACTGTCTTCAACATCTGTCAGTCTCCCTCCACCCCAAAAAAGCCCAAGGGAAGGAAATTTTCTCTTGATACACCTACACGTCGTCGACTGGTAGCTACAGCTACCATGAGTGCCGCCTATCGCCGAATGCGACTTGTTGAGGTCGCTGCAGCGTGCGGGCTTCAAGCCTCGGAAAGAACCCTCCGGAAAGCCTTTCGGATGGAAGGCTATTCCCGGAGGGTTGCCCGAAAGAAGCCATTCCTTGATGAGCGGAAGAAAAGGCTACGCTTAGCCTTTGCAACTGCTCATCAGGATTGGACTGAGGAGGATTGGCGTCGGGTCATCTGGACCGACGAGTGTTATGTATGGCTATCAGGCCATACAAGTCGGGTTTGGGTGACTCGGCGCCCAGGGGAGGAGTATCACGATGATTGTCTCCTCCCAAAGTTCCCTAAATCGGATACCATCATGGTATGGGGTGCTTTCTTGGGGGCCAAGAAATGTGATCCCGTTCTCTGGGACAAGGACTGGGGTACTATAACATCAAAACGTTATGTTGATAATGTTCTTGTCCCAGTACTCCAGCCTTTTTGGGAGCGAGAGAGTGAGCATGCTGCTCATTCTCTCTGGCTCATGGAGGATGGAGCATCTGCTCACCGAGCACATCATACTCGACGGATTAGAGAGCAGTATGGTATTCCGAAGCTCGACTGGCCCCCTGCTTCTCCAGATCTCAACCCGATTGAGAATGTTTGGTTTATCCTAAAGGATAAACTAAACAAGAGGTATCCTAGGCCAAATGGGTTAGAGGAAATGGGAGAGGCAATACGGGAGGAGTGGGATAGAATTTCAGAGGAGCATCTTTTAACCTTTGTCAATTCAATGCCGCAAAGAATACAGGCTATTATCGCTGCCTCTGGAGGCCATACTCGCTGGTGAACTTCAAGTAATTTTTAATTTTTAATTTTCTGTATTTATTGTTATTTTTAATAACTTTTTTTTTAATTTTTGTATTTATCATTATTTTTAATAATTTTTAATATTTATTATATATTTTAAAGTTTATTTCCTCCAGTGATGCGAAGAATATCCCTTTTTCATTAAATACCCCTCCCCTTTTGATTATTTTTATGCTAACTACTTTTGCTATTTACAGGTGTGATTCGGTGTCCTTGGCAAAGGGCCCCAAGCTCCCGGGACCCCCTGATGTTCAGTCCGTTCATGCCAGGGACTTGTACCGGTAGTTGCGGTTTTCCACTACATCTTTGAATCGCTAGTCGAAAAGTACAACCCAGAAAAAAAGTCCCAAGCTTGAAAGGCCCACCTACCTGAAAAAGCGAACGCTAGCTTTTCTTTCTCTTTCACTTCTAAAAAACAGCAAGCTATCATAGCCAGACTTTCGCACTTCCCCGCTTTAAGCTCATAGCATTCCTGAGAAGAGAAATGGCAGAGGCCTTCTCCGTGGCTGCCAGTGGCTTGGCTCTCATTCACCTCAGCGCGAAGGTTTTCGAACTCTGCTATGACTACTACGACACTGTCAAGGGGAGCCAACAAGATTTCAAGAAACTGGGGGACGAGATTAAAAGTATCCACCAGCAGCTGGAGGAAATCCGAAGCCTTGCCGCCGGAGACGATGAGAACGACCCACAATACCCTGGCCTTCTTGAATGGACAAAAAATGAAAGTTTGAAAGATTACAAGACCGCGCTGGAGGAGCTGGAGGAAAAGTTAGATGTCCCGGAATGGAGGAAATCCACGAGAAAATATGTTTGCCCTTTTCGTAAACCCAAAATGGAGCATTACCTAGGCTTGGTTGAAGAGCAGAGATCCAAACTTCATCTTTTATTAACCGCAGCCACAACGTAAGTTATCCATTCTTTAGCACCCGGAGAATCTAGCTTCTCGACTTCCTTTATTGCTCTAGCGGCGGGGCTAACTAGCAGTATAGGAGGACGGTAACTAAGGTGTTACGAAAACTAGATGGTACTTGGTCGCATTATTCCTAATCCGGTTAATTATCTTCTCTACTAATATTAGATATTTCGGATACTCTAGACAAAGAATTCCGGGAGGTGTTGAAATGGCTTAACGTCGTTGATCCAGCCTCGAATTATTCATCTGCAATCGCTCTTCGTGAGCCTGGTACGGGTAATTGGCTGATCAAGGGATCTGAGTACCGGGATTGGAAGGAAGGCAGAGGAGGGGTTCTCTGGCTTCATGGTATACGTAAGTGTACAAACGAGTGAAATCCCGTGTTCGAAAAATGTCACTAACCCATGCGTCTTGTAGCCGGGTGTGGCAAAAGTGTCCTAAGGTGCGAACTTAACAAGTTATCCGGAGGCGCAACATTATTTTTAGATTGCTAACTCTCTCTAGCGCTACTGCCATTGAAGATGTCAAAAATCTGTGCAACTCGAAAGACGATCACACATTAGCCTACTTCTACTTTACTTTCAGTGACTCGGAGAAGCATAATTTTCTCGATATGCTTCTGTCCATCGTTGGCCAACTACTGGAAGGCGTTTCGGGCCGTTGTTTCCCCCATGAGGTTATAAATCTATATCGCAATTCCAAGGCAATTGGAAAGTCAATAGATATCGATGCTCTGAAATTAGCATTTTCGCAGATGATAAAGCTTTCCAAACGGACATTTATCATCCTCGATGCTTTAGACGAGTTCCTCAAGGACACACGGGGGAGTCTCCTATCCTGGATCAGCGAGCTTACGGTTGATCATAACATGAGATCACTTTCCATTATCGTCACAAGCCGTCCCGAGGCCGATGTAGCGAAATCCTTAGAACCGCTTGCCACTTTTTCGATATCGCTACAATCCAATACTATCGATCCAGATATCCGGTCCTATATACAAAACTCCCTAAACGATAGAGATAGTCTCAAAGAATTTACCAAGGGAATTAAAATGGAGATAGAGGATACACTCGTTGCTCGCTCACAAGGAATGTATGTTATACTCAACTTTAAAAATTTTAACTTACACTGACACAAGGTTGAACATGTGAAGGTTCCGATGGGTGGATTGTCTTTTCCGGATTCTACAGGAATGCATAACACCAAAAGCTGTGAGAACCGCCTTGCAGGAACTGCCGAAAGACTTGGATTCCGTCTACTTGAGGATCCTTAACTGCATTCACGAGACGCAGAGAGAATACATTAGGCGGGCGATGCATTGGCTCGCATTTCCAACGGAACCGCTGACATTAGGACAGCTTGCGGAGGCCATTGTGATCGAATACGATGTCAACAAATATGGCGAGGATTCGGAACCATTTTTTAATATGAAATCCCTCATGAGAATTGGCCCAAGCCTTATCTCCTTCGAAGATGCCAGGGACGACCAATCATCCACCCAAGAAGACTGCAGATTACGACTGGCTCATTTCTCGGTAAAGGAATATTTGATCTCCGACCGGACAGCCCAGGGCCCCAGTACCTACTATCATATTTCGGAGGATAAAGCCAATTTACTGATGGCGCACGCTTGTCTCAGTCGAATACTGCGACATAGTGCGCAAGGTACTATCAGGGGGAACAAAGTCGAAAAATCCTCGTTTCTCTACCACAGTGCTCGCTATTGGTTCGTGTATACTAGATCTATTGAGGATACGGCACCCGCCCCACTCTTCGACGCGTCGGTGAAGGTTCTCGAGCTGGGAAAGGAGTGGCTAGATATATATAACCCCGAAGACGTTTATGGGCTTCGCATGTACGACTCCGGGATTTATCCACCAGCAATCTACTACTCCTCATTATTAAATTTAGCGACGGCCTGCAAATCCCTAGTCAATGGAAAAGAGGATACTGTAAACGTGAATTCTCGGGGCAGCAAGTATGGCAGTGCACTACAAGCGGCTACAGGGGAAGGGAATGAATCGCTTGTTCAGCTTCTCCTCGAGCGTGGGGCAGAGGTGAATGCTCAGGGTGGCCTTTATTGCAATGCACTTCAAGCAGCCGCAGAAACAGGAAAGGAACCGGTCGTGCATCTTCTCCTCGAACATGGGGCGAGGTGAACGCTCGGGGTGGCCGTTATGACAATGTACTACAAGCGGCTGGCGGTGGGGGGGGGGGACAAGTCTGTTGTGCAGCTTCTCCTCGAGCGTGGGGCAGAGGTGAATGCTCAGGGTGGCTAATACGGCAATGCACTACAAGAGGCTGCATGGGGAGGGAACGAATCGGTTGCGAAGCTTCTCCTCGAGCGTGGAGCAGAGGTGAATGCTCAGGGTGGCTTCTATGGCAATGCACTACAAGCAGCTGCAGAAATGGGAAAGGGATCGCTCGTGCATCTTCTCCTCGAACATGGGGCAGAGGTGAATGCTCGGGGTGGCCCCTATCGCAATGCACTGCAAGCTGCTACCGCATTTGGTCGTGAATCAATTGTGCAGCTTCTCCTCACACACGGGGCAGATCCCAACGCAGGGATTTCGGCGGGTGATACAAATAGCACGACCAGCTAGGGGACTTTCAATTGCTCAATCGCTCGGACATTCCGTTCCTGAAGTGGCCACCAATTCTTGCTGTCTTTCCCCTTCATATCCCACGTTTGCTCGCTGTCTCTTACCCGTATTTCACATGACAACTCCTACCTACACGAGCCGCATTCCCGGAAATCTACTGGCGCCAACCTACGATCGCTCTATTACTCACCCTGAACAAACTACTCAGTTCCAGAATCCTATCTAGCCCTCAGTCACCAACTACCACAGAAGATCCCCGTGGCTTTCTCCGAAATTTCAAATTACCTTACGATGGGTTCACTTAAATATCCAAACCCGGGTCTGCAGCACTTGCTCCACATCTATCCCCTCTAAACCCCACTATCCCTCGATTTCATTTATCCTACAACCAGTCCAACACCTCCAAAACAGTCCCTCGTCCCATATCACAGGAGCTGTCCGCGCATATCGAATGTCCTAATTTAGCTTACCGCGCCAATTGACTCTCGTCTAAGCCCATCTCGTTATTGTTAATGTTACCCAGTTTTGTGATAAAAATTGGGCACAACTTTGATTGTATAATAGCGGGTTTGGGGATTCACTCATACTTATCATCAATAGTTGAACCTTCCCGGAGACCCCAATATTAGGAACAACTTAAGGGGTATTGTTCTAGAGGCGGTAGAAAGCGATGAAAGGAGGAGGAGGAGGAGGAGGAGGAGGAGGGGAGTGTCATATTTGTTTACCGATTTACTTATCGGCTAGCTGGGTTTGGTTTCGGTGTATGCTATATTCGGGCTTCGATGCATCCCTTCCCATTTTCCCTTTTCCCTTTACCCCTTTCTCTCTCCCTTTCTTTTTTTCTCCAAGTGGAATAAGGCCATGGCTGTGGGCTCACGGAGGGGCATGTTACGAAGGGAAAAGTGACTTCTTTGTTCTTCGTGGATCGGTCGTTTATGGTTTTATTTCTCCACTCTTTATTTTACCTATCTTCCCCCTGTATCGCCTTACCGACACCCAATCAATACATTAGTCGTTGGGGCTTGCACCAAGCGTACGACTGTGCCTAAATTTTCCATTGTGGTACAAAGCTCCTTCCGTGTCAAACTTAACAACGTATATGAATTGATCCTGATCGGTAGGGGTTCGGCCCGGTAAGACTAAACCCGAGGAACCATATTCTAGGTTTACCAGGCGGTTCATTGCGTCTACATGGGAGACAAACTGAGTACTGTACTATATGGGACGGGCTAGAACGAACTGTATGGAGCACAGCCTGTTATTTTGTCTCCCGGATATTATAGGAGCGAGGAGGATTGCCATTCAATCGGCAGCGCAGGAATGGGCAGAGGGGAATGAGCAGAGGAAGCCTGACTTTATTCCTACCCCGCAAACCACATCTGTGGCACTCCCCCGTAATCTCCTTCTAGGCTGCTGGCGTTAATTTACTAGGATTTTGAATTGAGTATAGGGCATGCATCATGAGTCCTGATTTCGACAACTACTCCTCATTAGCACAATAACCTGTGTTGGACGAGTTGCGGGGCATTTGGTGCACAGGACCTAGCGTTCTTCCCAGAGGATGATATGAGCTGTCAGTGCCTATCAAGCATAGTAATTGGAATTGCTTCTTTTTTCTGGATTGAAGACCTAGGGGGACCAATCACAACCAGCACTCCATCAGAAGACTTGAGCCGTCCCATACCCATGACTGTGGGAGCAGGTCCCCCCACCCCCGGTCCCCAGCCGGGTCAGCACGCAGGGTAATAAAATATTTGGGCCCAATACATTCCTTCTGTGTAACAGAGGTTCCGAGGACCCACACAGCCGGATTCACAAAGCCCAAAATCCGGAAGTGAGCTTCAGACCGGTAGGATGGGCTACGAGCCCGAGAAAGCACATGGCCATCAGGGAAAAAGATCATATTTATAGTTGATCAATTGGCTCGATAGCTGATTTCACACCATTCATTTATCCTAACTTCACTGACCAGGGAGGGAACTAGCAGCGGTCGAGAGATGAAAGAAAGGGAGATTTCTAGAGCGCCAGCCTGCCAGATGAAAGGAAGTTTGTTTTGGGCTTGTTATCACACGCCGAGCTTTGGGAAGACTTGGTGCAAGCGATAGAACTAATATAGGGTACTTCAGACCCGATAACCTTCTTTGCGAACAATTAATGAGCGGCTCCCCACAATTGGTATCCGCGTTGCCATATTTTATTCACTGTCTCCACAAAGGAGGTAGTTCCCAACATAGCGTGAATGGACCTGCTCCATGTCAATCGTAGCAGTGCATAGACCTTGGACACACTAACTGGTATCTCTGCCGAGTGGTCAATGCGGAGGAACCTAGTTTTGGTGTGCGGTGGCTGGGTCTTCCGAGGGAGGGTGGCGTCATCGCGTTGACGCCACCTGTTCCTTAAAAAGGGTGCGAGATCGGTGGACCTTGGATTGGGTAGGGTCTGTGCTCAACTGGCCCGACAGACCCCCTAAACCCGGCCGTATGATACCATCCATTCTAGTCTAGAGCTTTTAGCAATTTATACTAGTGCCCATATTGAGAAAACTAGGACTAATCGTGCCAAGGTGGTGGCGTCCACCACCCCTAGAAGCTCGCAAGTTCGCAACCAAGGGCACTCCTTTGGAGTGCCCGCCATCTCAACGATAATTTCATACTCAACGATAAATTATTATTACATGCAATGCAAAATATTGCAACAAAACACCAATTTCATAAACTCAAGTTCTAAAGCTCATGGTTTTTATTCCCATCCTTTCCCACGATCCCAAGCTGTTTTTATATTTTGTTCCATAGCTTTTTGACCTTGTTTTGTTGCTTTTTAGTGGGCTCTTTAGGATTTGTTCGTCCTCCTTGTGGGGGGAGGCTTCACGGTGCCCATAGTCTAACCAACCGCACAAAGCCAGCTGAAAGAAGGTCAAAGAAATCGCAGAATAAAATATAAAAGCATCGGGATATAGCAGGAAATGATGGGATTCAGAATAATAAAATTTAGAAGCCTTTAATTCATGAAATTGGTGTTTTTTTTGCGTATATTTTCCATCGCATGTAATAATTTATCGTTAAGTATGAAATTATCGTTGAGATGGCGGGCACTCCTTTGGAGTGCCCTTGGTTGCGAGCTTGCGAGCTTCCAGGGGTGGTGGACGCCACCACCTTGGCACGATTATCCCCTCATATAGGTATCATGGTGATCACTTATGATACTCCCCCCAAATTTTCATTCAGGTTTTTTAACCCCCTAAGCTTCCCCTGGGGATATCCCCTCCTTCTTAGCTGTTATTGGAATGCTGCACTTTCATACCTACTCGATTTGGGATCTTAGCCTTTGCGCGCAAGCTGGTGCAAATTTCTTAAATGGCGCACAATCAACTCTAACCAGAAAAACCGTAGTCTCCCAATCAACTCCCCTTGAATCCAGTGTACGATTACCCCACTATTTAACGAATTGCCAAGCACTTATATCCAGTATTCTTTACTGCGGGTGTCCGGGAGCGTGTTTCACGCCCACTCGCGGTCTTCGAATGTACTTTCAATTGGCTATCCTAATTTTCTCAACAAAATAAGATCTGCAACGGATAGAGCTTCGTTTCGAGTACCGCGTAACGGTTCGGTCATGGAGAATTTAAGGCTTTGGGGTGGCCGCCTAATCTTGGGCTTGGGTATTTATTAGGGGGAAACTTTTAAAGGAGTTGTACTCTAGAATAGCCCTAGATGTCAGGAGTTAGAGCTTTATCATGATATATCACTCGATGTCCTATATTATATCATAGCAGCTTCTAGTGGTCGTCGGGCAGGTGTCACGGTATTTCGGTGATACATTGCTCATCCTTGTGAAAAGAACCCGCACAGCCAATCGTAGTGCCCGCTATTTCCAGTGTAATCTCTGAAATAGTCCTGGAGGCCTATCCTAATTCCCCTTCCCTTTATTTCTCTCCCGAGATTGCCTCTGGCTTACCACCACTTGTCTCTACCAGAAATGATTGCCCCTGCCTATGTCCCGTAACCATGCCGAAGTATCTAACACCCGTTTCGAGTCGACCCCAAGTAGGCAATATGTATGTGAAAGTACGGGATCATTTCTTAAGCAGAGTCGCAAGCCTTCCAGTGGGCCCAGCCCTTATCAGGATGACCCGGGCTCTCTACTCGGCCATGCCCTCTCCGAAATAACTTTTCTTGGGTCGGGTCCCGGAAAACCAAAGCCCCTGAAATGGTCGAGATTAATCCGAAGACCAACCCCCATATCATGGGTGTCATTTCTGGGCTACATGTAGCTGCGGGAAGAGTACCGGGAGTTTGAATCCATATTTCTGGGACCGCTCTTTAAACAGGAGGATAAATCAGTGAATAAAAGTTGTCCAGAGCCCATAAAGCCCCCGTATTAAATCAACTATCAATC